TCATTTTGGAGAGAAAAAGCACAGCACTGGCACAGCCCACACTTACCATGTATTGTTGTGATGTGTGAGTAAGTTCAGGTTACTTTGGAAGTGTTATCTAGAAAAGCTAAAGTCTAAAGATTATCTTGACACAGGGAAAGATCCTGGACCTGGTTTAAGCAAGTAGTATAAATACCTGAAACCACCGCCAAGGAGAGGTTATTACGAAACATAAGCAGTATTTTCAGTGAGTACAAATGTTGATATGAACTTATTTTAATTGTCAAGTTACCTAAGTCTGGAACATCGCGCAACAGGCGTATCAAGTTGCGGGTCTGGGCATCTTTCAACAAACAATTCAAAAACATCAATTGCCGAAGAAACGTGAACGGATGACATGAGCTGTTTTAATGTTGTAAAGGAAGTCGGCTCAAGTCTTTTTGTTTCTCCTGTTCTCATGTTTGTAATTTCTTGCTAAATTATAGTGAGTTGTGTTTCATTTCAAACTCCAGACTGCACAGTAGGCCGAGGGCTCCAAAGCGGTGATACAGAAACTTGCAGTCATTGGAAAACTTCTTAGAAGCAGTATACCAAAAAGTAACCAAACGAATAGTCGTCACCCACATGTCTTCAGGCGTGAAGAACACACTTTTCTGCTCTAACACAGTGAATGCTAATCAGCTATTGCAGCAGAGTCCTTTGAGGGACGTAGTGCGTCCAAGTCTCCAGATGATTTCCTTTGCACTGCTATCTGGCACGCAGCTGGCTGGTTTTCTGCCAGATCCACACAGCTGTTACTAGCAAGTTACATACAACACCACAAAATTGCTCTTATTCCAAGGCAGACACCCGTAATGATCATTTAAAGGCACCAGCAAGCCTTCGAGTGCAGGAAGTCTGGAAGTCAAAAGGAAGTCACTACAGAACTAAACTCGCTTTTATCCGCAGTCTCCGCCCAGTGAACATGCATGCGCTGACTGGGAAGGGGTTACCTATGTACGTTAGAATAAACAGCAGTGACTTGATAGAGAAGCACCGTATCTACAGTACAGAAGACGAGTTTTACAAACCTTGAGTTGAACAGTTAAATAGATGACCTGAACTAGAGCCTTATCCCAATAAGACAAGCCAGAGATTCTCCACAGGAGCAAAACACCTAACCGACAGCTTCAGGTCAGCACTCGCGAAGAAATTCCAGTCAAGGTTTCCCAGTGTCTCCGCTTCTCACACAATCCATCTGCATCATTTTGACAGTTACCCCAAATCTTTTATTACTTCCCGGAATTCCAGTATTAAGCTGAGGGAAGCAAAAGGCAATCTAGCTCAGTATAATCCCAGAAAGAGTTAGTGTAAACAAACTTAAGATAGCAAAAGGCCACTGTCTACAACTCAACAGCAAACTGTACTATATTGATGACATTTCCTTCTTGTATTTTGAAGAGAACAGAAAACGTATCTCTTCTCAGTTTCTGAAACACTCAACAATGTTAACAAAGGATGTTACAACACAAGCTGCTTAACACGCACTTGAATCAAAAGCTTCCATTCCAAAATGCTGACTGCAGGAGCCAATTTTTTCCACTGTCACCATCCAGTATTCCAGGCATTCAAGAAGCAGAATCTGTTTTCCACATGTTAGGTGCCTGTCCCAAATGCCCCATTACTGGCTATTCAACTGTGTTTTCTTCTCTCTTTTTCATGAACAGTTTGCAATGTTAGTTTTATTTCAGATTGAGCCTTGGAATTCTTTCTCAAGCCAATTTCCTATTCCGGTCGTCTCAAGTTGTAAGCCATTACTATTTTCCACAAACATTTACGATAAAATAGCGTGTATAGCAATTTTCCATGTAGTACTTGTGGAAACCCTTTTAATAGGAGATACACCAAGTGTGAGTAACACAAAGTGCTTCTAAACTGTTTTCCGATCAACTATAATAAGAGGAACCCGATAATACGTTAGTTCATTTCACAGAGCTATTTGCCCTCTGCATAGCATGTCCAGTGACATACATGTTGTTGCTGGCTCTCCATGCCCACCCGAAAAGAATAAGCACGGAAGCTCTGTCGGATAAGCAGCCTTAGCCGATCCAGTTCCAGGCTCTCCTTCCCGGTGATCCTTGCAGCAGCAGCGGCCTGAAATGCACTCAGCTCCACAGGGAAATTCCAAGGGGTCACAACTGTCAGCAACCCATGGTCCTTTCAAGCGGTGATACAAGGTTTCCAATTTCAACCTCTGCATCTCCCTTGCCCTTGCATCACGTTCCCGGAGAAATGTAAACGTACCTGATAGCACTTATTTTGCTGGACTACCAGCACCTTACATTAAGGTTGTTAAGTCAAGAGATGATACATGATCTTCAGCTTCTTGCCGCTATCTCACATCAGATGATAGAAATTAGTTAAGTATTTAGTCTAGTGCTACTTTCAGCACAGAACCCTTAAGCCTCCGAAACAAAAGAAATACTCTGCGTGACTCTACTCAGCTATAGTCCATATACAACAACATTTACAAAATGGAGACCTATGTCACACATCAAAAAAAAACAAAGCAGAAAAGGACCACGGTTCGAACTCAGAGGTTGTTAATACAGTAGAAAACATCTTCAATAGGAACTATCACTTCATAATAAAGTTAAATTTTCTGTATTTATTTTAAATAGTCTGTATTGGTAACATCAACATGTCATCTCATCATAGTTCAAGAAGTCAAAATTCAGTAGTCAGAAACCTGGGTGAAGAGTGATAACACACTCCATACTTGCACTGCAGACATGTTATAATAAGGAAGTGAAACTTCTGCTATAACTAGTTAAAGACAGTCTTTCACCCAAACGCTGGAATTGCACTCAAGGTATTAAACCTTTGTTCCACTTGCTATTGAGTCATCTTCCCTTTGATGCCCTGAGTAAGGTACGCACGTGGTTCACTTCTCAGTTATATCTTTTACAATCACAAGGAACAAACCAGAAAGAACATATTATACAGAAATGTTAAGTACAAGAGGAAATCCAAATATTGGGGACATTTATCCAGTTTGTCCTAGAAAGCCCTCAGCTAGGAATAAAATAAAGTAAGTCACCACGATTCTCCCTTGCTTAGTTGTCTTACAACACCTCACTTCAAGACATTTCAAGAACAATTCTGGGGGGAAAACAAACCAGCTTTTAAAAGACTTATCTTCAGATTTAAAGATTTATCCTATCAGATTTCTTTGCTAAGTGTAATTCCCTGTTAACACAGAATTAAAAATACCTTCCTTGAAATCAAACCAGTATTTACACTTATTAAAATTCCAGTTATGAGTCAGTAGAAGAAAGACTATTTCAAGACATACGATTTTTTTTCCAATGAAACAGGTAACAGTTCACAACCAACTAAACGTTTCTCAAGCAACCTGTTTTTTCGGCATGACTGAACTTGATGTTTTTTTTTTTTCCTTAAGAGATAGCATCTCCCCTTGTTTTTTTACTATGTCAAGAATTAAAGCTTGGATTCAAAGTAATAAAAATAAAACCTATGACATAACGCAGCGAGGCCATTCGCTTCAATCTAAGCTATATTACAACGATCTGAAAAACAGCAGCGAGCTGTTTTTAAGACCTAAGGTGAGCAAAGAAAAAACCAAAATCCCTAGACACACAGGTATGAATACTCAAGACAGGAGACTAAGCACCTGTAGTCAGATCAAGTATTAACTATTCTGTTCATGTTGCATGTGAATTAAGGCTCACCTATAAAACAAAGCAACCTCTTTAATGAAGACTAGGCTAAATCCTTCCAAATTGCCACCTATAGACTGCACCTTTAGAGCAAACATTTCTCCACTTCAGAATTGCTTTCACATTCTATTGAACTACTGAATATTAACAGCATGACAGAAGGTAAACTCGTCCTTTCTGAAGGAGCAGAACAAAAAGAGAAACTAAGAACAGAGTAATAGAACAAGCAGAATTAATTCAAGTCTTACTAACAACAGGAGAGGATACGGATGCAGAGGTATTTTTACAAATTGCCTTGCAGAATACAGCATTACCCTGTTCACTACGTATAGCAGAAGAGCACTTGTGAGCATTAAGCAGCCCAAGGAGACGATCTGCAGAAATGCAAGATGAAAGCGAAAGGAAACACGGATGCTAACTTAGGTTGATGCCAAGTGATTTATTTTAAGGCATGTTATCTGAGCTTTTGAACTTCTGCAAGAATAGTTTTTAAAAAGTTATATTAAGGCACCTTTATCACACAAGCACTCTCAACAAAACTTAGGTAGGCGCCTAAGTGGCTCCGTAAGTAATGGAAGCTCTTTTTACCACTTAACTGTCATGTAGGCTTTACTTTGCCACAGGCACCGAAAAAATTATTAAAGTGCTGATCAAGCAAAAGTTAAAACTGGCGATTAAGTTGCAAGATGATGCAGTTTCACAATCACAGTCAATGTTCACATACAACGTTATTTTTACTTCCATCCAAGGTAAAAATAGCCAAACCTGAAGTGAAACACAATAACGAATCCCCTCCTCCCCTCCAAATGTGCGGACAACATAAGGTATTTTGTTTGGTTTGACTCAAGTTGCACCAAAACTATGCATTAAATGCAGCAGAAGCTGACGTCTTAACTTGGCTGGAGAACTGAACTAAAGAAACAGCATGACTTGCAAGCAGACTACAGGTAAATAGCAAAATTTGGTCTTCGCAAGTAATTTGCCTTTAGCAAAAGCACTTCTGGCTCTACTCAAGTCATTCACACTGCACTGGTCCAATGTAATTGCACTGCGAAGACTACATAGTCTGTACGCCATACAAGTACCCCAAATTGGATGCAGAAGTTCTTTTTAATTGGAGGTAGCCAACACCTTAAAAATTTCTCTTCAACCCATTTACTGTCATGAGGCAGCCATTCATTCTTTGGTCATTTAACCGGATGTACGTACTTCAACAGAGACATACACATATATATATATATATATATATGTAGGTATGTATACATATATATATGAGGTAGTGATGTTACAGGTGTAACTTGCCTGGGTGAGAAATGAAAGGAACAGAACCAAAGGGATCTTCAGGAGGATTTTTCTGTGGAGCAGAATGTGGCTCCACATTCTTATCTGAAGATGCTCTCCTGTCCACCAGCCTGTCTGTAAAAAACAAAATGACACAGAACAAAAAATAAAATAAAATAAAAATGGCAGGTCTTATGCCTACGCAAAGCTTTCTACTGTACGGGGTGAGGGAGGAATATACTCTCTATTAGGGGTTTTTTTATGTTTTAATTATATCCTTCATCTTGAATTCACACTTCTTGATCATTCAAGAAAATTCACCTGCACAAACCTACTGTTAATCCCCCCGTTCCGCCGAGAGCAGCACGTATTTGGTGATGGAATGCTTTACGAGCAGCACATATTTGGTGATGGAATGCTTTAAATGAGGATATCTATTTCATGTTATATGCAGCCTATGCGCTCTGTAATAGAAACTACTAGTCCTCTGGTGCTCTTGAGGTTTTGAAGTCAGAATCGGTATGCTTATCTAAAATACAAAATCATTCATTTTGTCCAAGTTTTGGCCAGCGTTTGCCACAAAAAGAGAAAAGTTGACTATCACAGGAAAATAGCTGAGAATACTTTTTATTAAACATGTAACATATGTTAGTAATTAAAAACAATTTGAGTATCACATATAGAGAAATGTAGAGTCTGTTTTATATGGTCTTCAACCCTCAGGAGACGGGTTTGGTTTGGTTTTGTAATAATTTTTTTTTTTTCTTTTTAAGAGAGACATACAAAATATTTTTAACACAGTCAAAAATTCAAAGCACTAGGAATGGTAAACAGAAGTTTTTCTGTCTAATCTCTTATTCTAACATTTCTGCCTACTTAAGATCCAGGCCATCCAGGCCGACCTCCACATTGCAACTCAGGAGGGTCCAACAAGGCCCATCAGCCAGTTAACAATACCACTGTGACAAGGTGTTCCACCTTCAGCTAACACCCTACATCCTCTGTGCAGAAGACACAGTATTTTGCTTTCCCCCTTTTTCACAGCAAGCAGCTGCTCTTCCAAACAATGGGCAGCACGACCTCCTTGACAATTTGCCACTGCAGAGATGCAGCTGAACAGCGCCCTCATTACCTATCAAGCTACCTGCACATTTTCTATTCAGTCCTTCAATACCGCAACCAGGAGGCTTTACTAAGACAACCACCAGGGACTAGACTAGCTAATCTACTTCAGACAGATGTATTTAACCCTGTGTACAAAGCCCAAGAGTTTTGAAATCACACGCCAGTTTTCACACACAAGTGTTCTGTTCCTATTCAAGTGTCCATATTGAGCATTGTCTTACTCTTACCTACCGTTAGACTCTCCAAGGAAATACAAGTGGGAGTTGTTCCACTACAGGCAACCCCTACTTAAAATATAATCCCAGATGAGGACTCCTAGTGCCAAGTAGTTGCTCTCACCCCAACATACACATATTGAAATAGGCAGAGACTAACCGATCCGAACAAAACTATCCTACAGTGACACAGCCATGCAGAAGACAATACTAACAGAGGTGCACGAAAGAAAAAATTAACAGAGGTGCACGAAAGCCTAGCCGATGTATGTTCTATACCATTGGCTTTGAGCCTTGAAGACAGACAACTGCCAAGCATCACATCCAACAGCAGTACTTATTCTGGATCCTGAACAGTCATACTCACATTGCTTCCTCTGCTCAGGGAGGAAGGGTTTGGGTTTTTTGGTGGTTTGCGTTGTTTTTTTTTTGTTGTTGGTTTCGGGTTTGGGGGGGGGGGGCGGGTGGGGAAAGGGTAGCCTTTTGTTTTGTTGGGGTTTTTTTGTTTGGGGTTTTTTTGAGTTTTGTTTTAGAAGAAACACATGTGACCTTGAACTTGCATCTTTATAAATGCAGACTGACTGAGGGATACTTTCGTTCTTTTATCCCTAGTGTCTCGCCTCCAGAGAAAAACCAGTTGACCGCTGCACAGTTTACAAGCAACCAAACTCTAGAGTAACTTTCAAGGATGCAACAACGTGAACTACCCTTTGGAGTGTCCCTGCAAATGCTGGCATGCAAGACGATGCAAGTTCAAGCCCCCAGATGATGATCAGATCTCCCAACTTCAGCAGCAGGGCTAGGGGACTAGGGAAAGCAGAAAACAAAATGGATTGGTATGCTAAGCACGCAAGAAAAATTAGGTAAAGTGAGTAAATACAAGGTTTCAACTCCTCCGTGGCACCTAGGCACATACGTATAGATTCAGAGGGACTGTCAGTATTAGACTTTATTGTGCTTCAGACGCAGCTTCCTTAAAGATGCAAGTTTTCTTCCCCTCAGTGAATAATCAAACAAATGCAGCCCGGACTGCTGCCAGAGACACGATCATGTGCCACGTGGCAGGGCGGACTCTTCCATAGTCAAGTGCAGTTATTTAAAACCACAAACAAGGAATCCAGCTGTTTCCATTTAAGTGACAGGTCCAAGATTCCTCGGGAGACAGCGCTCTTGGGACTTTCTGAAGTACGAGAAGCACTCGTGCACAAGGAAAGCCTGGTAAGAACCACAGCTCTATCCTGCACAGATGGCCGAGGTAGTTCTTTGATATTGTACGTACTGCAAAGGAGATGGGCACAGAGCTTTGTAGGCTTTGCACCCACAGTTGTGTCTGTTAAAGCACCAAGACGATTCTGGGCCTAAGAAGAATCTTTGTGCAATTCAATGTGAAGGCTGCACCGGTATTTTTTCCCAGTGAGAAAGACGACTCATTTTCCCGGCTCCCAGTTCTGCACAGGTTATTAAGTGGTTACAGGAGCTCTTTGTAAGAAATCAATTTCTTCACAATGTTGTCAGAATCTTAGCATCACGTGTTGCTTCTGGACCATCATTAATACAGGTAACAACAGAGAAACAACAGTGTACGCAAGAACCAGAAACTCCACCCTGTAACGCCATACCAAAGTTCTCCACAAAGGTTCTCAGCTCAGAGATCTTCATTCAATTGCACATTACGTTTTACTGCAACTGTGATCTTTTCACTAAGAAAACTTTCACCAAGTTTAAGCAAGGTATTCTGTTGTATGAGTTAACTCCCGTTTTTAAGGAAATGTGATTAATCATATAGCAATATCCATCACTACATGCACTATGACATCAAGCTACTAAATGCATGAAATCGTACAGTAATGTTAGCCTGACAAATTATGGTGACATCTTGATCCTCTTACAAAGGCCGTGTATATTTAATTACTCGTGTATTACTGTCATGAACACAACAGCTTTAAAAATATTTCACAATTGTAAAAATATTTTTAATGTATGTATAAAACATCAGCTCAACAATACAAATCAGGCTTTTGGAAGTGGAAAGAAAGGATTTATATTTTGAATGCTACTCAGCACCAGGTAACATTGCAAAACGACAAACTTACGTAACACTGTACATGAGCTCTAAAGCACAGGACAGCAACTGGGTTTACCAACAGAAAATGTAACGATTCATCAAACCTATATCTTCCATTATCCTTCCTCTAGATGGCAAAATGATTCACGGTAAACTCAAATTGAGCAAAAAAATTGCTTAGTAGTAAACAGCAGGTTTCTCTCATAAAAGATAACCTACATCTAAAGAGAATTAAGCCTTGATCCTTAAGATGTATCTGATGAAATTCCAGGAATTATTATACAGTTGAAGACAACTTTATAGGTATAACCCTTAATTGTATAATAAATCTCCCAATTTCTCATTAATCCACTTAAGTTTGAGCAAGTAGCAGTAGACAAAATGAGGTATAAATCCTTCTGCTTTGACTGCAGTAAAGGCATTAACACTGCAAGGTTAAGTTTATACAATCTTTGGCACAACATTCTTAATATCAAAAAAACCAAGTTAAAAGGTCTTTGAAGTCCTTGATGTGTGTATCTACATGTACACACAAACACACATACGCCGAGATTAAAACTAGCAATGCTCCCCACTCCACTGGACCTCAAACAGAACTCAAGCCAAAAGGCCTAAGAAAAGCTGTAACTGCATCTCATGTTACATATAAACAAGCCTGCCATCCAGTGTACTACTGGTCAAGCGAGTATTTTTTTTTTTATTTTTATGTTTTCTGTATTCACGTGACTCAAAAACCCTAATGCTGGTTATTACTAAGCAAAATACACTGTTATGTTTACTTTTCTGATGCAGCATACGAAGTTTATTATCACATCCAGCTCTTCTGTGCATTGAATTATCTTTACTAAGAGGTGAGCCAAAAACATGCCTAAGTAGATTTAGTCGTTAAAAGCTTCAGACTATTTTCATGCATGTAGTACAAAAAATGGATAATGGAATTATAGTAGTAGTTAACTGTTTTTTCTGCCAGAGATTTAGAGACAGCAGTTAGCGGCATTTAGCTCCAAGTTATTCTAGCCTTTACTAAGTCTAACTGTTGGCACACAGTTCAGCATTTTCACCGTAAGGGTTGTCAAGCATTGGAACAGGCTGCCCAGGGCAGCGGTTGAGTCACCATCCCTGGCGGTATTTAAGACGTGTAGACGTGGCGCTTAGGGACATAGTTCAGCGGTGGACTTGGTAGTGATAGGTTAACGGTTGGACTTGATCATCTTAAGGGTCTTCTCCAACCTAAATGATTCCATTATTTTCTATTTCCCCAGCTTACTATAACCAGCCTATTAAACTACTCCAGGCAAGCGTATTTCTTGTATAGCATTTACCAGCTTTAGTGTAAAGCCACTGGAAATACGTCCTTGTTTAGTTATCTTCTTCTGCTCTACTTACATTTGTTCAAAACACGTGGCTTAATCAAGTCAAGCTCATAAAACTTACCGTAACTACAGTCAGCATTCCAACAGTCAGTTAAAGATTCTGGAAACGGGTAATGTTGTGCTGACCTTTTGGTTCAACCTAACCTTCTCCAGATTCAAGAGTGTCTTACTTCCAAAGGCTTCCAAGGCTTCATTTGGAAGCAGCACACCTGAAGATACTCAACTCTACTACTAAATAATTTCAAATACTAAACTTGGTTTCAGAAAGAATGCCTATTTTTCAGCTGGTACATTATCCATTTTCCGCAGCTAGCAGTAAGTCATTTTACTGTAAAATGTGTGCAGGCTACCCCACAACTCGGAAATAGGAGTCTTATTTGATCAACACAGGATACAAGTGAAAACAATCAACTAGAGTTTCACAAAAAAAACCCAAACCAGTCACTTTCTTTAAGGATTAACAGGTAATGCACACATCTTGTTCAGCTACATTTAAGGACACAGAAATCCAAGAAGAAAGAGTCAACTGAAGGCATAGGGGTTTTTTCACTTACTTGAAATTCAAATTTACTGCATTTTTAATTCCAAGGAACTTGCTGATACTCAGACAAGTATATACAATCTGTTTATTGACACTGTCACATCTTACAAGTCTCACTAATAGATCTGGTCTCCACAAAACCAGTTTTAGGAAGAGCACCTAATGAGCATGCGTTAAGCAATTAAGAAGAGGACATAATTGCAAGTAAAAACCATTGAGATAACTGACTTGAAGAGAAAAAAGTTTATTCAACTATTGCCATATCAGAACAATAAAGCAGCCCTTACATGTAGCCACTCATCAAAAAGGACATTACAAAACATTAACATAATGTAATAGATTCATTTTCTTTCAGGCATTTTCAAAGGACGTATCAGACCCACAGAATCTTCTGCTCTGGTGTGCAAGAAAAAAGCTGGAAAGGAATAAAGCAAGCAGCCCAACTTACTTCCTATCTGACAACATACCTCTGCTCTTCAGAGCTTCTTGACAATCAAGGTGACACAAACAGCATTTAAGAGCTAAGATACTACCATTTCTGCAGTATTTCAGCCAGTAACTACCAATTTTATACAGTGAGTTCCTATTGCACACATTTTCAAAACTGAAAGCAAAGAAAAGAAGACAGGCCCAACTCTGCCCTCAAATGCTCAGAAAGAATTTTCCATACACAGACTGCATGGCCCTTCTACAAGACAGGCGTTGGAACTGCTGAGCAGCTACAGAACCCTTAGTTACTGTGAAGCAAAATAAGCCTTCAAGCGTCCCTTACTTGATCTTAGCAGGTCAAATTCTCTGTCCAGGAGCTCCTCCTCTGTCAACTTGGAAAAATTGTCCTCTCCAAATGGGTTCCAGCCCGACATATCAGGTGGGTTATTGATGCTCTGCTTTGGGTAACTGGCAATTGCTTCAGCATCAGGAACACCTGACCTGTAAAGTCAGTTCAAGGAAGCAAATAAAGAGAAACATTATGGGATGGTTTATCAGGGTGAAAATCTATGACATGCTTCCTTATGCCAAAATACTACACAGAACTAACACACATGCATTAGCAGCTTATCCTAAAAGCATCTGAAAGGTAATTTAAGGGTAAACAAGTCACTTGAAATACGTGGTTTGATCGCATCATTTCTGTACGCAATCCTTGGACTTTTATTTTTAATTTATTAATTGTAGCCAAAGCACAGAATCCTTCATCAAGGTGACATGCAAGGGCATAAACTCCATTTCACCTGCGGTCATTTCTATATTGCCATAAGAGACTGCCTTGTTTTCCTCAAAAAAAGCCTACTACATATGTTTGAAGTTTGCATTGGTTCTCTTTATTTTCAAATTATTCTTTCTTAGGCAACACATTAAGTGTCTTTGAATCCTACATACATCCAACTGATAAAATTAACTCAACCAGTTGACATCACAGCTTCTGCTTGTCTTATTCTTATCTACACAGATAAGGAAATCTTTCACCAGATGTGTCTTTCCTTTCATGCACATTTTAGTTAATTATGCCTACTGCTTCCCTGTTTGAAGCGGACTAGAAAGGCAGCAATCAGCAAGTTACTGCATGCTATGTGGTTTTCTCTCTACGCCTAGCTGGGCTCCGCAGGCCACACCCGCAGCCCAGCTCCACGTGGAACCATCTCTTCAAGACAAGAGAAGTGGGAAGGGGCTCTTTCCCGTCAGCTTGGGTGCTGCCATCCCACAAGACTACTGGCTATCTCTACTCAGAGAAGGACAACATGCGATACGATGCAGTGCATTTAGCATGTCAAGGGAAAATAAACTCATCACCCCTTCCTTTTATACAAGAACTCTTTTTTTTTTTTTTTTAAAACCAAAATCAATCTTACACAGTGCAAACCACTGCTAACTCACAGTCATTGACCTGAAGCTAAACAGCAGGATCAAAATCTTCAGCCCAACACACACAGAAGAGTAACTGGAAATTTTTTATTTACTTCCAGACTGGAATGATTCCTTTCAGAAATTATTTGTAACAGAAATACTCTGGCAACAGACCCGACCGAAGTACAGCTGTTAAGTCTCAGATACGGGCACAAAAGTGCAGGACAACACTCTCTGCTAAGGATTAGAACACTTAACCAGCAAGATGAAGCCAAACTGGTCACAGTTATATATGGTATTATATCAATCCAGCCTGCGGCAGGAAATATTTTGCCTTTTACTCTTTCAACACACTGTAACCTAGTAGAGACTAAGAATGACTGCAGCACCTGAAACATGTAAGCCACACTATTAACTGAAAGCCTGCATCAAGACTGACTGCACCGAAGACTGCAGCGTTCCTGCAATTGCAAAGGACTTCCCTTTCTATATTGTATAGTAAAAACTTATATAAATATATAACCTAGTTCATAACATAAGTTAAACTGAACGAATCTGCGATTTTTTAATTTTTAAACCAGAAAAGGAAGGTTTTTTATTCCATACACTTTTTCGTAAGAAATCATGGGAAAGCCATTATTTATTATACTTTATTAAGCAAGGGCAAGTCCATAGGCCCCCGCAAAGGGGGTGTACTGATGAGGTGTAATCCATCATATACCATACTTAAGTCAGACCTCTGATCAATAGACACAAGACTTAAAAGCCCTACCAAGTAAATGCCAACTATAAAGCCCCTCTCAAAAGAGTGTTTGAGATGACTTCTACATGCCCATAACTTCAGTCAACATAGGCTACTGACCATCCTAAGCAAAGTGGTTAGGTTAGCAGTCAGTTCCTGGAATAACAACATGAAAAAAGTGTAAAGACAGCTTCTTTAAGAAGTTGTACCAGGCTCATCTGTTAAGAAGTTAAGCGTCATTCCACTTTTCTCCCAAAATATCCTTTACCACTAAACAGCAACTGTTCAACTGCTTAAAGTAATATCTTACTATTGAAGCAAGTAATTTCTGAGGAAAGGATTCAGCAGTGCTCTTCACAATTAGGAATATAAGCAAAAAGTAACCCTTGGGTACATCTATGTCAGAATACTTGCCTGCTTGCCGGGTAGGGAGAATCTGCCACTGTTCCAGCATGCGCTGGAAGTGACCCAGGGTAGGAGATTAAGGCTGGTGAGAAGTCTTGTGGCGAAGTGATATATTCAGGAGATTGCGCCTGTTGCGACCGCTGTTGCTGCTGAGCAAGCATCTGCTGCTGTAGGAGAGCCTGCTGATATTGCTGCACCTAAGTAAGATAATGATCACGTTACTAAAATTCACACAGGCCGGCGTGAATCTCTTCTGCTAAGTAACAATACTGGCCTTGCAGACAAATGCACTAACAACCACCACACTCCAGAAAAGCTTGGTAGCTTCAGCAGAACCAGGAAGCCAGACCTGTCCGTTATACGGATGAAAAAAACCTGCCCTAACAGGTCAGTGATACCCTTCTTCTCTTCCAACATATTACCACTTAGCTTTTTGTAATTACTGCAGCCTAAGTATACGCTACTGCAGCACAAAGAAGTTAGTTTTCATCATACCCTATTCTTAAACATTAATAATCAAAATTTCACGGCAATTCTCCTGACTTTTGAAAAACAGATTATGCCAGTTAGCTCGCTTGCTTTTGAAGTAGGAATTTGATGCCACCATGCCTTCTATCACTTAGTAGCATAACATACATTTGTTGCTGTGGTCACTACTGGACACCTTAAGCACCAAGTACGTTTCAAATTAGTATATACCTACTTAATGAAGTTTAGGATATATTGCATCCGATTAATAGAGCAGTGCAACTCCAGATAAGCTTTCGCAACCAAGTTTGGGTTAACTCTTTTTTTTTTTCCCCAACTGATTATCATTTTAGATGCTGAACTTCACGCTATTTACCACGTCCACAGCTCATTACAACTACTCAGAAACTTCTCTTACTGCATCTTCACAATAGACTTACAAACACAGCATGTATTTTAAGATTTTACCATCTACGTTCCATTCTTGACATACCATAGCAGGATACTGAGATTGGGAAGGTTGCTGCTGGTACACAGACTGCATCAACAGCTGCTGTTGGACCATCTGCTGGTGCATTGCTTGTTGATACTATAGTTGAAAAGAAGAAAATGGCTTTAAGAAGTCATGATCCCCCCCTTTAGAAATATCCAGGTATCTAGAAGCAGCATCAATTTAAATAGCACTTCTGTGACTCAACAGCATTTTTCAGTTAAGACATCACATGACCAGGAATCAGCTTGAAATTCAGTCACTGCATTTTAATGCTCTGTGTTTGGAAGCTTTTCCATTTTTTTTCCCCCAATTAATACCAGCCTGTTTAACAAAAAATTAGACTACATATTCAGCACTGCCTTTTATAATGCAGGCCAATTGACATCTTAACCTTTGCAATTTTCATCAGCACTGAGCACCTCTGGAAAATACATCAGCTGTGTTTTTAAGAATAACATGTCTCAACAGGGGGAAAAGAAGATGAATAACAGTAGGTGTCTTGGACAGGACCTGAGAGTTCTTGTCTGACCTCGCTGCTCTTCTGTTACGTTTACCATTCTTTATGCTACGCAACTTAAGCAATTATAGTTGACGGTATGCAAGCTGAACAGTGATAGAATACGTGGTGTCCATGAAAAATCTGGGCAGACAGAACAACTACAAAAATAAAGCTCTTCACTGACCAAGACAAATTTAAGAAAGCAAAAACCGCAAAAATCCTCCTCAGATGGTGTACGTACAACCATCTACTGCAAGCATAGCATCATCACCTAGATAATTCCCAACATTCATCTCAAGCACATTTAGACATACACAAAACCTTTATTTGGGCCACACGGTGGTGGTAAGAAGCTAGCTGGGTTTCAGGGTCAAACTACAAAAACGAGACACCACAACGAAAGCAACTTTCCACGACAAGCATTAGAGCGCCTATGAAGAGACAAATCAAAGGTAAAAACAAGCGGCAGGAGCCATGATCCCTTTCTCTCCCTCCTAGCAGGAAAAAAACCAGGCAGCAACAGCAGAAGTGTTTAAGTAGCACATGATTTCACGTGTTACTAAGAAGCATAACATGTGTCTCTTAGAAACTTGTCTAACAGATTTGACTTGTACCTGCTGAATATAAGCATCCTGCATCGTAGGCTGCTGCTGCTGGTGATGTAAATGGTGTAGCTGCTGTAGTCTCCAGTCCCCCTGCTGCAGCTGCTGAAGAACCCTGTTCTGCTGCGGGGGGTGCTGGTTGGTCCCTTGGGACTGTAAGATTTCTTGTCCATTCCCTGGTCTCGTGGTTCCTGTGATATTCAGACAACACTATTGACATACTGATCTCTAAAGTTTAGCTGGAGAGCTCCCTGGCAGTTAACCTCTTCACCTAACACTTCAAGGTGAAACAGTTTATAAACTTCCCTTCCCAGTTGGACAACTAGTGCAGCTGACAGATAGTAAGTTCGCTTCTCCCAAAATACGATGTCTACTTAGAAAATGCAAGAAGCTTCCTTTGGTCTCAGGACAGAGCAAGCTGGGTTGAAGAATTCTGCTTTCCTAACACTTAAGTTGCACCCTCTAGTATTCTCAAACCCTAACCCTCAAAGCATACAATTTTGTATGCATACACCGCATAAAACTTGCTTGTTTTTTTTTTTTAAAGGGAACTACAGGCTCACTTGTCAAATTCTGTTGAACAGAACACCTGAATAATTTCGCCATTCCATTGTTTTTGCAGCCTTTTAAGCAAGCAGTTACTAACGTAAGTCAATCTCTCCTGCGTGCTGTATTTATATTCTGAAGTGCCCACGAATGATCCGTTTCTTGTCATAACAGGAAATGCTTTCCAAGTTGGATGTTACTGGGATCCTGTCTAGTAAAAGTTGTTTACACCTGGAACACAAACATTCTAGCTGGCCTTTTGATTGAAGGCTTTCCCAATACCGTCCCTGAAGCTACTCTTCCCCTAGTGTAACAGACACACATCATCACAAATTACTCCTCTGTTACCCCTCAATTACTCCTCTGTTGCCCTGCTATTGCGCCCACAGTGCAATGTGAAATGCATCAGTCAATCATTAGAGGAATGACATTTTTTACATGGTTCCAGCCTACAAATAACACCAACATACCATTGATATCTCATGACTTATTGAGGCACGAGGAAAAACATTTTTCCTACTACAGTGAATGCAGTTTGTTATGTAAGAGCTCAGTACTTTTAGCGAATTACTTGTAAGTCAAAACTGAACATGAACTTCTCCCACAGTCCACAGTAGTCTAGTCCAAAATCAGTGTTAAGCACAATGAAAAAAATGCCTTCACTTCTCAACAATTTGCATTTAGTTTTTGTGGCACCTGGACAAACTTCTTACTTGCACATTTAGAGTCTTTCAGAAAGGACGAAGATTTGGTTTTTGGCATATAAAAAAATCACAGATGAATATGAGTTTTAAATGATATCGCTACCAGAGCAAGAAGGAAAAGAAATACAAAATTCATTCTTCATTTATTTTGGCCCATCCTTAGAGTTTGTTAAGTTACCTTTTTGCCCACGATTACCTAATTCACCAGGAACTTGTACTTTGACTGGAGTTGCTGAGCTCTGGATCGTCAGCACACTAGAAGTGGCAGTGCTTGAATTGGCCTTTGGTCTCTGTCGCGGTGCAATTGAGGTTTCTGTTGGTCCAACAGTATCTGTTATTCTGAAAAGGCAAGTTTTCCATAGAAGAGACTTGATAAAAAAAGACTGTCTCTTGTTCAAATTAGACACAATATATCTCTTAATACCTCAATTATGTCTTAACCATGTGCTGCTCTACTTCTGAATTGGATTTTAGTACCTTAAAATTCGCTTCCTAAAATTCCACTCACCACCCACTGCAGCCATAGGATATGTGACTGCTGCAGAACACCATTAAGAAAGAGCAATACAACAGCCTTATTCCCAAGGAGACCATGGCACTAGATGAAATTTCTCTGTATAAGCTTTCCTCAGTTCACAGTTGTGAGTGAAACTCACGTGCAGCGCTTGAGTCAGCAACCCTATGGCTAGAGATAATATTACCGTTCATACATACAGGAAATAAGATTAAAAAAAAGATCTTATCTGTTAGGTCAACTCATTTCTATTTTTCATACAGATTTAGCCTCCAGCGGTTACAACACCCATAAACCATGCAAAATGTTTGGATCTTCCGTCAAGTACTTCACAGCTGCGTAATAGTCCGCCAGGGTAATGAAGATGTTCAAACCAAAATACTTTTGAGCTTCAATCCCACTATCACGTTCTAGTATACGCATTTCTTTACAACTGTCCAACTGCTCAAAAACACTAACTCGCCATCTGAGCTCCAGTACTTAAGACCTCATATTAGTTCCTACCATATTTTATCAATTCACCATCTCCCTTAACGTGTGTAACTTAGGGCCATCAGGAAAACATTCTTTAGGAAGAACTACCAATCTTCCTACTATTGTCTAGCAGATTTAGTTGGCGTTTAAAACATTATTCCACAGGTACTCTACGCCTGCCCTCCGCTACACGCAACCAACTGACAGCAGAGCCAGCAAAACCAACCACATCCAGACCATGACATTACCTTAAAATGGCACAGACACATCCACATCGCTCAAACACAGCTTAGATGAGCCCATTCATTTGCTTCTCATTCACAATAGGGTAATGAAGTCAGAGTTGAAATAGAGCTTATAATTATAGCTGAATCAGTATAACAGTACCCAAGTCACTCATGGTAGACTCAAAACCCAAACAACTTCCTTTAACAAGCAATAAGAGCGTAAAGGATTCTTCCAGCATTAGCATTGAGCATACACCATGTATCACAGCAGAAGTAAAAAGCATGAATAAGAGTTCCTGAGGTTTTGGTTTTATTAACAAGTACATAAAAAAAGGAGTATTTTGGTATAAAAATGAGAATTTTTCACAGAACAAAATTCACTTACCTTTATCAATCAGATTTGATGGGCACATTTAAATACAACTCCTAAGAACAGTTTACCTGTACCATATTAACCTCACCTGCCACTGAAATCTTTTGTTTCAAAACTCAGTCATCACACTAGGAGAAAATAAAGCAGATAAGAAACAGACTGCTAGCACTTACTTATTCCACCACGAAACAGGCTCTCTGTTTCTCTCCGTGGATTCTCAATGCAATGAAAAAAGCAATGGTGTGGAATCCAAAGAGAGACTTGAAGCTCTTAGAATTGCAGTTTATCTATTCTAATGACCTCTGCTACTAAGAACTTATCATTTATTAGCAAGCATATGAAAACAGGTTTCAGACAAACATGTAGCTTAACGATATCGGCAAAAAAATTTAACTCACATCCGCCGCTCACCTTGCTTTTATTTGGCTTTTTCTAGCAGCTGCCTCACTAGCTGTCATGGGTTCAGGAAGAGTTGAAGGGACAGGAGAATTCTTGGGAAAAATAAATTTGAATAAATTAAAAAAACAAAATCCTGAAAGAAAAAAATCATTACATATTGAAGAGAAACACTTGGATTTAAGTTTTTCATGTTAAAAGGCTTCGTGCAGAAAACACTCACACAGCTGTAGACAAGTGTGTTTTACACAAACTGTATCTCTATGTTCTCTTATCCGTTGCAAAAGTAAAACAAAAACATTGCTGGTCTGACTGTTTTATCAACTACTTAACTTTATTGTTGATAGCTGATAGGCACGTAAATGAAGTAAAATATTTTCTCCGTGTGTTTTCTTGTAACTGCACAGAACAGAACTTATTTTAGCCTCAGGTTTAAAAACTAAAACGAAGCCTAACCTTTGGATGAAACAACATCCAAACAACATCCAGTAGTTTTTTAGCGCACTCAGCTCTCCCACAGCAACACAAATTCCAGAAAACCATGCATCTAAGCTTCTATGGTCCTTTAACTTAACCCCATCTCAATCAAATTCCTGAATGAATTACAGGCCACTTAAACCACATTTAACCAAGGAAAAAGGCAATTCTGGGGAAGGGAGGAGGAAGATTAGCTCTAATTAGGCATGCACCACCTCCTTACGTAAAGAACGCAAATCTAAACCTGGTCACAAATAGTAGAGACAGCGTTAATTATCAAATACTGCTTCTGAAGACCATCAGTACCGCAATTAGCCAAGAGTCTAGGAAAGAGACAGACAGGCATACTTCTGACTTTCCCTTGAAAAAATAAGCTGCTGTCAAAGACACTATACTGCACTCAGCCAGCCTCTCTTCTAACCTATAACGGTCATTCTCATATTCTCACGAAACTTCGAGGGGGAGGGCCAGGGGTGTCCACAAGCACATTTTTGTGCTGCTTCTCTTTTAAGGCAGCCGTGGGTGCTAGAGGGACAAGCACCACCAGAGGAAATCAACAGCAACAGAAACCAGTCCATAGGCTGCTGCTCTTTCTCCTGTTTTAACATTCCAGTGGAAGAAACACACACACACCAAACAGCTTCACTTTGTAAGAATACTCCGGGCACTTTTACTTTTCCATGTCTGTCACAAGGCAAAGGGCCAAGTACGCAGGCAATTCCTATCTGCAGGGGAAAAATAAAAAAATCCAAGGAACAGAACATCTCAAGTCACCTGAGCGAGGTGATACTACTCCTCCAATGAATAACACAGTAAATTATCCAATTATCTTATGTCAAGATATGCTCATATCTCAGGATAAAGTATTCAAGGGAAAGTATAGTTATTGCACCTCCTAACCACACGCTGTAGCAGCATAATGGAAAACCATTCAAATCACTTAAAATTTAGCCTTCGCTGACAAACAGTAAATACTTCCGAGGTTTTATAATTTTTTTTTTTAAGTTTCTGAAAAGCCACACTCATATTTACCGAGCACCTTCTTCTACAAGGATCAATGATAAAGGAATTCAAAGGGATCTCAGTAAGCTCACTCATCTGCCTCTGAAGGCAGAGTTTACGGTAATTAACATTTGTTTCAAAATGAATTTTGAGACGGATTTTTCCTGATGCCGACCTCGAGAATCACTTTATAATACTAAACATTATTGATGTGCCCTCAAATTCCATTGCGCAGTGATTAGATCTGTGAATGAGATGATTTTTGCGAGAAAGTTCAGACTTTCAAACACAGTTCAAACTCACATGGAAAGTAAGGGTAGGAATGCAGGCTAACCAAGGCACTATTCTGTTTGCCTTCTAGTTCACTGGAGTCCTTCGCGACATACAGTTACAACATTAAAACTTCTACTGTCAACAAGTTTAAGTTCTGGAGTGTATTTCATATTAATTGTATTAGACACAAGACATGAGTAATGGTTAAAGCCACAAGTCAGGTATTGGTGCAGTATAAACATAATTCATGAAGCTATGCCCTCAAAATTAAAAAATATTTTGTTTACAGAGCTAATATTGCATGTACGCAATAGCAACTTGAAGTGTACTCTACTTGATGTTTTAAATTTAGGAACAAGGTTTATCAAGAAATTGAAATCATCTTTCTCAGCTTGTTTGATAGACACTTCTCAATGCTACCGACAAAATACATTAAAAACACAGAAAAAAGACTACTTACATTAATATTAGACACTGGACAATCCTTTTTGGCAAGTTTAAAGGCAAAGAAAGATACTTGAAAGATATCAGGTCTCTGTTCTTGATCAGGTTCGAGCATATATCCTGCAAAAATTGATAAGACCAAGTTATCACTGTTGGATATCCAAAAGCCTGTTGAGCGAGCGTGCGACGAGCAAGAAGAAATTGGGCAGCTCTGCCAAATAAGCTTATGCCAGAAAGAGTAATTTTTATTGTTATGTTGTTTTTCTTGAGTTTTTTTAAAAATACTTTTTGTCAAGTCAAATAATTTCTAGGGTCAAAAATAAGTGGAGAAGATGTATGCTGTTTGATATTTTGACACTCGGTTGTGGAAAGGGTAGCTAAACTGAATTAATAACTTCACAGAGATATAACATAAAACCAACTCGTAGTACTAAAATTTTCTGGGGTTAATACAAAATTCAATGTAGCTAACAGAAGATTCACATATATATTAACTGCATCAGGCTAAGGTTCTGCATCATCTTTTGTCTTGCATGTTTAGTTGGCTATGCACACTTTTTATATATTAAAAAAATATAGTTCCATGGATAAAAGGACTTTTCCTGACAAGACACTGTATTTCTGATGTGCCTCTCAAACATCAGCTTCCCAAATTAGAAGGTTTGGTATTTTTCAAGCAAATAAAAGTTACTTTATATTGTTTAGAATATGATACAGAGTACATAATCAGAAAATCCTGCCTATATGACCGAAGAACCTAAAAAAACAGTGAAAGATATTTTCTAAACGAGTTAAGCCTCTAAAAATATGTTCAGCTACAAAGAAAATAAACAACCTAAGAAAATTTAATTTTCAGTTTTGATGAGAAAGTTGACCTACACTTCCATAACTGTTCAGTAGTACAGCCATTAAACAATACTTTGTAAAAAATCTTGAAGTAATTTTTTTCTTAAATTAATCTAATTTTAGACAGATCTTACAATTTTACTCAAAGCCATTATTTCATGGCCAGTATAGTTCACAGCAAGTTTTATTTTTAATAGGTTTTACAAAATAAAACAGATTTAAACTAACAGTGACAGCACCATTAAATGGAAACAGAACACTTATCATGAAGCGACTCCTGCCACTTGATTCCAAAATTTTAGATTTATGAGATTGAGAATGTTCAGCTTGTCATGTCCCCCTCTGCTTTGTAAAAGAGCTGACAGGAAGCCGCAAGTCCCTGAAATACCTTTTATTACCAACTGCAGCTCTTTTTGGCTTCCATTCCAAATGGAAAGAAGGGAAGTTTACAATATGAGATTCTTCCCCACCCACATATATTCCATGCCAGTAATGCTCATCTTGGCATAGCAGTTCATCGAATCTTAATAAATCAGCATTCATACTTTTAAGGAGACAGGATTAAAATCTGTACTCTTCTAAAAGTAGCACTGAGACACAGAGAAAAGTATTTTATCACTTGAAAATTAATCTCATTTTGGCAGTAATTAAGTATTACCAGAAGGTGAACACTTACCGTGGCAACTGCTATTTCTCAATTATGAATGTGTGCTCAAAAAAGTGGTTTGGATGTGGTATTTCCTATTATACAGAAGCATAAACTACGTGGTCAACACATTCATAAGTTAGAAAAAAATGGTAAGAGCTCCTATTCAAACTTTCTGAATTTTTCATATTCTGTCAGTCACACTCTTCCAAGTTAACCTGCTCAAAGTTGAACACAAAGACAACTGAAAATACTCATTATTACTATAAGTATTAGATCCTGCATCTCTGTACTTGGATAATAGACTAATCGCTAGCCTCAGAGCTTGTTGTTGTCTGATGTTTCCTTTATACTCTTTGTGCTTTCAAAATTTTGCCAGAGTTCACGTCCGACACTGCGGGTGGCACAAACTTGATCAGATTTTTGTTTTGTTACAAACCACGAAACTACTATAAAATTCCCCCCAGTGCAATTCACCTCAGTACATTCACGTTTCTAAACTGAACTTGCACTTCAAACTCATCTAAGCACAACTGTACAACTAGGACAGAGAACACTATTAGCCGTCTGACATTCCATAGAAATCACACGCTTCAGAGCAAAAAGCAACTATGAATAAATTAAGAGCTACTGTTTTCATTCCCCTCATCCCTTTGTGGTTTATGGCCACCTAAAGCGGGGGGGGGGGGTCATCCATGCCTCCCAAAGAAACGAAAAGAAGCCCAGAATACAGTAGCTGATTTTAACATGTCAGCTGGTCAGGAGAAAGACTTGTTTGTACTTCATTCACCTGGCTCGCTTTTGGAGCCATTTCAAAGAAGGTCCCTCTAGGTTTCTGAAATTCCTCTTTAGGCCGGCACCTCAGTCCTGTACCCTGCGGCACAGTCCTCAGTTGAGCAAAGGGATAAGGAAGCTTCCTTTAAGAGCAACTGCAGGAGTTGCAAGACAGATGGTAGCCAGGAGCAACTGCCACCGTTCACTCAAAAACCCAGCCAGTCTGCACCACCCATCCAAGTCACTCGCCTACATTAGCGGGATGTTCTGTGTTTTATTTGATTTACGAGGCCAAAGAATGGCCGTGCTGCCCAGATACTTACTTATCAAACAGTGTATACTATGAGAGTATCGGGAATTGTCCGGAATGGTAAAGCTTCCATCGCAAATAGCAACTTGACTTTCGCCAAAGGGAAGCGAAAAGAAACAAAGTTTATACAGCAAGCAGCCAAGTGCCTGTAAAAAACAAATACAGGCATTGTAAAGGGATGAGAGTAAGCCTTTTATACAATAAGCAGCACCAACAAATAACAAATTGCATCCTAGCTACAGCTGATGATTACACTGTTATGTAGAAGCTGCATTATGGAACACTCTGTTGATGTGACAAGCCGATATATAAAGCAGCTCTAAAAAGGCTTTTTTTCCCACTGACTGCTGTGTTAGACAGCAAACTACCAAAATTAGAGCATTCCCCAAGCGCTGCATTCACACCGCCGTATCACCCAGAGATACCACTAGCGCTTCTGCTGAATTTAGTCTTTATTTACTTCATTGCACGTAACCTAATAAAAACACCTTTCCTTATCACGCTGCCAACATCTTTTCACAAGAATTTACTGGTGACTGCCAAGCAGCAGCCTGAGCTGACAAAAAGGAAACAAGTTCTAAATCATGTCCCCCTTAACTCAAAATGATCATCACACATGGCATTCATTTTGTTTACAGAAGACATAACTACGAAAGATACCCCTACTATATTCTGCATTGTATAGCTGCATGATATATTTCACTTTCAAAGAATTAGTTTTTCAGTTAGTCAATGCTACTTTTAATTTCCCCCTCCCACCTCTTAATTAGTGCCATATTTCACAGTACCCGATTTTTTGCTTACCCAGATATCTGCCTTGGTAGTAATTGGTTTTCCTGCATAAAGATTGATCATTTCGGGAGCTCTGTACGATAGTGTTGTATACCTAGCAGTATATAATTCAAAGAGGACATAGATGAAAAGCGTGCCTCAGAACTGTAAGCTTTTTTTCTTGCATGTGCCATGCCCACACCGTTCACGCCCAAGTTTCAGATACGCGCCTAGAATCGTCTTACACAATGCAAGTCATGTATTGCGTTTGCAGCATCACAGAGAATATCTGGAGTAGCAAAATTATTATACACAAAAAAAAATATTAAGGCAGCCAAAATTTGCTTTTCACGTTATTTCCCGAGCAAATGCACTTTTTCAAGGGTCACTCTGCTTAAATACTGCAATACGCAGTCATTTGTAAAATGTGATGTAAGAGTCCTACAGGAGCATTCCCTATCACATATTGAAACATACGGAACACAGACTTCAAAAACTAACATCTCAAAAGAATTACTTAAGTGGTAGTCCAAGTATTTTTCAGAGCTGGGAAAAAACAACCTGTATTACTCTTTAACTTAAAAAGAAGTAGCCTGTATTTATTCCTCTGCAGCAGTTAGCCTGAAGGGGCAAAACCAAACTAATACATGTTTTCAAGAGTGCGCCTGTAATAAAAGTTAAAGTATTTTTCTAATCAGTCTTAAGAGGATGAACACGGACCTTACTCTACAAACCGGACTGTATGTAAATCCATTCCAATGCTTATGTACATCAGTTCTTTTTCTCTCATACCATTAGCTGTATTAAAATAGCACAAATTTAAAATATCAAACTCCTAAAATGGCCAGTAGCCAGACATACATCTTCGAAAAATTAAATTTCAAAACAGCATGCTTTTTTCCCCAACAGTTTTATTCTTAAGAGTCTCAGTTTTGCAAAAACAATCTGCAACTAAATGGAAGAAACCTACGTTATCAAATAGTTCCACTGTTTTACTGTATTTATGTCAACATTATTTCAAATGCAACCATTAAGTTCAATTTATATTAATAAGATAGGTGCACACTGCACAATAATACATGGAGCTTACTAGCAGCACAATTATTGCTTATGATAGGCCACTTAAAAGTGAACTTACTTTTTAATTTCTTCTTCAACCACATTAACACCATCTTTTTGAGGATTAAGATATTTGTTAGTGGCACTGCCAAAATCACAGAGAACATAGTTCCCGCTATCGTTTAACAGTATGTTCTCCACCTTGAAAGGAAATCAACACACAGAAACACTGGATGAAAATAATTGCATTAATTTCCAAGTTAACTGTTACTACGTGTTCTCACACACAAACAGGAAAGTTTTCAGAAAAATCAATCGATAGACTACACATTAGCAACAAGTGATGTTTTATGGTTCAGTCTCTCTGTTTACAGCTCCACCAACAGCAAGTGCTTCCCTAACTAGAAGTTAGTCTTAGTGAAATACCTCTTATATTCCTCAATACTTTTTAAGTAGATCATTGATTTTAACCTAGATGTTCCTTTTTATTTATTTCATACCTTTAGATCCCGGTGAACTATAGGCGTTTTGCACTGATGCAACCGGGCAACAGCTTCACAGGTATCACAAAATATTCTCATTACTTCTGACTCAGTAAAGCCTGTCTGCAGACGCTGATTCATCTGATTCACAACTTGCCCAGCTAAAGAAACAACAAGGGGTTTTTTGGCTTTTTTAGTAATTACTATCACATACAGAAGTAAAGACTTACTCATATGCAAAAAGTCCACATGTAAGAAGAAAGAAAGATTTCCACAGTCACTGTATTTACGTAAAACAAACCTGGTTTTCCAAATGCACGCTCTTGCATCGCCCTAGACAGAAAAATTACTGTCTCAAGTGAAAAAAAAAGTCCCTATGACTGAAACCCGTTTGGGACGAATTGTCACCGATTTCAATTTAATTCATATTCTAGACACCCTCTCTCTTTGTCTTTCTGGGAGACAAACTTGAAAAAAAAAAAAAAGAGACAGAAGAAAAAAAAAAGAGCCCTGAATCCACCCTTCGAGAAAGACCTCACTTAACCTCTTCATAGGTTTCTTTCCAAGATCGTGAACCATTATTTCCTTAATTCTTGAAGTAAATTTACCAGATAATACTAGGCTCACTTAACACTAACAGATGAAGCAAGACTCACTATCTGCAGGGCCTTGGTGAGTGTTCTGCGGAAACAGATGCTTTGAAAAAGAAAAACCTAACTCTCCCAATAGGGAGTCAGAAGTGAGCTCCCTCAAGGGTACAGAAATTCACCCATAAAAGCAGGGTAGAGGGCCAAAAATGCGGCCATTAATTTTCACATTATCTCCTTATTCCCTTCCCCAAAACGTACATCAAGACTGTCTTTGGCTCCTTATGGTACAGATTGCACAAGCTGTAACGTTTGCTGCTTCTACTGCAAACAAAACCAATGTAAAACTCAACTGAAATTATTCTTTGAGCATTACGGACAATGGGGTGGCTTTTCTTTCTAGTCTAGAAATATTTACTTTGTTCTTGTAGCACTTTTTCTAGTATCATCACCTACTTGGGTTAACCACCACCTTGTATTATGAGGTCAGTGCCTCGTCACTCTAGATAAACTTCACAAGCTAAACTCAATGGCAAGCTTATTCCAAGGCATATGTGAGCTGCGGAAAAAAAAAATCATGTCGAAACTACCTGTTTTAACATATTGTTTGAAGCAAAGTTATATTATAAAGCGGGATCACAGGACTTTTTTTTTTTTTTGGCCAGCATTATTAACAGTAACTCTGCTATGCTCACTTATAACAAGTCACCTGTCAGGTAAGAGCAAAGGATCTTAAACGTTGTTATCTAAACCAAAAATAGCAGCGGGAGAACAGCAGTGAAAAGCTTGCCAATCTTTCCCATCGAATTATGTTCTAGCTAAATGTGGATGAGCACAAACAGCAGAACTGAACTATCTCACTTCATACTTATACAAATAATTTCCCTGTTTCTAATCATACTTAATTACAAAGCCGTGTGAAACTGACTTTTACATTTTCTCAGTGTTCAAAAGCTCAGTGCCTCAACAGCAACAATGCAAACAGAAAAGCAAAAAGAAATAATTGGATTCCAACTGTGAGATATATATGTTAACCTTTTATATTAAGGGAACAATTCCAAGTAAAAATCCCAGGTGGTCAATTCAAACATTTTCCCTGCATTTACTCTGAAAACTTAAGAGTTGTCTCTTACCTCGACAGTACTCCATAAGAATGAGTACCTCCCAAACGTTATCACTTATAGAGTTAACAGCGCAATCCAAATAGCTCACAACGTTCTTGTGCCCAGATAACTCTTTCTGAAAAGGAAAACGCACATTACACTTCAGCAGAGAAAAATTTGAACAAATAAAGATGGTACAAGTTTTCAGAAAACGATTTATGATTTCAAGTTTAGTTACCCCTGTCCCACATCCACTACTCTTGTTAAAGTACGACAAACACTGAACATAAGCTCATCGCTGCCAGCAATGTCAGAGCGACCGCTACATATCAAACACAATGCAATTACTACTCAGAGAAGAACATTTACATGCTACTTGTTGGACAGTGCAAACATATCCTAACTGTTGCATTCTAAAACAATGTTGTGAAGTACTAACGGTTAAAGCCTTTATATGTACAGAAATATGGAATAATCAAGGTACTCGTGCCCCTTGTCAGCTGTGCTGGTTTTAGCTGGGGTAGAAATAATTTCTACTTCATAGTAGCTAGTATGGGGCTGTGTTTTGGATTTGTGCTTGGAACAGTGTTGATTACAAAGGGATGTTTTCGTTACTGCTGAGCAGTGCTTACACAGAGTCAAGGCCCTTTCTGCTCCTCACCCAACCCCACCAGCGAGCAGGCTGGGGGGGCACAAGAAGTTGGGAGGGGACACAACCGGGACAGCAGACCCCAACTGACCAAAGGGATATTCCGCACCATATGACGTCATGCTCAGCACATAAAGCTGGGGGAAGAAGGAGGAAGGGGGGGACGCTGGGAGTGATGGCGTTTGTCTTCCCAAGTCACCATTATGCATGATGGAGCCCTGCTTTCCCGGAGATGGCTGAACACCGGCCTGCCGATACGAAGGAGTGAACGGATTCCTTCTTTTGCTTTGCTTGCGTGCGCAGCTTTCACTTTGCCTATTAAACTGTCTTTATCTCAACCCACGAGTTTTCTCACTTTTACTCTTCCAATTCTCTGCCCCATCCCACCGGAGGATTGAGCAAGCGGCTGTGTGCGGCTTGGTTGCTGGCTGGGGTTAAACCACGACATAAGCTAAATTGAAAAACAGCCTCTCACAGTTACTAAAAAAGGTAGCTGGAAATAAGCCATAACTGTTGTGGTCTGAACTATTAGAAAGTTTTACAAAGTTATTACACAAAAACAACTACAGGTGACCCCAAGGAAAAAAGCGCAACTTTTAAGAGCCATTTTACATGCGGAATTAAGCAATTTCACATCTGACTAAACAAGTAGTGTTATATGTACTACAGAGTTGCTGCCTATAAGGTAACTTAAGGTTAACATAAAAGTACCTCTCATATCAGATAATTAAATAGGTGCTTCTATGATTATAACACGTGTAAGCTAGAAGTGTATGCAGATGGAGATAAATAGCGTTCATAGTATCTGCTGGAAGGCAGTACAACAGATTTTCTCTTGCCTAGTCCGCAACTGATTTTTCTTCTTAAATTTCTTTTTTTACCTATCAAGTTGTCATAAACTCAAGTGTGCCTGACTAAACCTTACAGTTTTTCGTTATTTGCTAGTCATCTGCTGAAAAACAATAGAAACCCTGACGACGTAGGGGAGCTCAGTTACACTCCTATCAGTTACCTCAACATTGGACTGCAACTTCAAGAACGTGCTTATGCGTACTCTAGATGACAATAGTTGGGGAAGCCACTAGCAGCATCATTCAGCTAACAGAGCGGTGGCACACAGAGACCTTAGGAATTTAAGTTACCACTGCAAAACTGCAAGAAATGACTTTCGATTGGAAACCAGACATACTGACCAAATTAACTGTGATATCAAATACCTTTTTTACCATTGCTTTACAAGTTAATCACGCACCAACCCTAAACTCAGTATTACTTTCTGAAACTAACAGTGCAAAATCAGGACCGCAAAGTCAAAAGAAAACGTGGTCTAGACGTGATTGACATTTGGCATACCTACATTACAAATTAATACATTCTCCAGTTACAAATAATGGGCTTCTTACCATAATTGTAATTTCTCTCTTGCATATGTTGAGATCCGGCACATTATTAACATACATCCGTTTCAGTGCACAACGTATCCCACCGTGGGTACGTACCAGAAATACAGTTGAGAAGCCACCTGAAAAAAACAATTACAAGCAATTGAAGCTAGTCGAGTTTTTGTTATTCCTCTAGCCAACATCACTACACGCTAAGAAATGAATGAGAAAGTCTATGTCAGTCACTGAGTGAGGAGTAACGAATACTTAAAAAGCTATAAAGATCTGCTACCTCAATCCATTTCACACAGGTGAAGTATTCTCGACCAAAACATAAGGATCTGTCTATTTTGTTACAACGTTAAACAAATATTTGAAGAGCATTTTCACATTCAAAGGAATTCATAAAGCCTAGTGCAAACTCTATGTATTCAGGTATCAACCCTCAAGTACTTTCAGAGTCATCCAGAAATGATGAACAAAGGGAAGGTATCCTCCAGATCTTCACCATTTCTAAATCCCCCAATACTTGATAAAGATTGATATTAATTCCCTAAGCCTATATTATAAAACATAAAAATTAAAATACTAAGCAAAGAGAAAGTCTTGAGAGATACTGAAGAAGTCATGCAACCTTTCAGCATAGCCTCAGGACAGGTAGAACGTCCCTGCAATCACAGACGGTGCGAGCAATCAACTCTTAAATAGCATTTTTATTTAAACCCGTACTAAATGCACAGTTAAGAATCAAACATTTTCCCACAACCAGTCCCATCAGGAGCATTCTTAGTCCAACGGCGGCATGAACTGCGAGCCACATACTTGAGCCCACCTCCCAGCTTCTCAGTATGAGGTTTTTCTTTTTCTCTTCACTGGTATAGAAGAATCATGCAGACAGGAATTATACACAGAAAGTACGTCCAAACACCCAGGCAAACCAAAGGGTGTTTTATCTGTCTTCTGTTAGTCTTAACTACTGCTCAAGGCCTCAAACAAATTACATTAGCATCACCTCAAGGTTCACACGCACAGCTTTCCCACAGTTTTAGGAAATCTGCCTCATAGAAGAGCTCATGTCAATCCATGCTTTCCCTAATGGCCTGCTGTCTGATGGCAAGCCAACAATTACCATGGGAACTTTCAACTAGTGCAAAAACACAGGTATACAATCAGGACAGAAATATGTAAATTGAAACGATTAACTACTCTGATAATCAGGCAGCCAATTGAAACGCATGCGTTTAATGTCTCCTGATATAATCTGCAAGTAGCATTTATTAAATATAATGCACCTCATTTGATACAAGTCGCATGTGCTTGAACGAACGTGCACATAATAATTTACAATTGAAGAAGTTAAGCTTTATTAGGAAATTTTCTTGAAGATTATGTATCCATTATTTTTTAATTTAATTGCTTACTTAGCCAAATGAGACCCTACGCTGTCAAAACAGAATTACTGCCAATTTTAATACAACAGCCTAAGTTCTGCAAAATTCTTCTACTTCACCGAGTTTACATAGGGCCTTCCCAAAACAGTAAGAGGACACCTTCTCTTACTCAAGTTTTAATGCCAAACTCCAGCTGGGGCTGAAACCATCCTATAGGGCTCCCCTCATACCAGCCTGCGGAATTACGTTAAGAGTGACGTGCAGACCTTCGTTAGTGGAATATTTTTTGTGCTACCCTCTCAGTGAGAAGAGGCTTCTTTTTTGAGCACCAATACTTGACCAGAAACATGAAGCAATACTCAGGTCAAGCACAAAGGTCTAACGATTAGAAGACAAAAATCACTACTTGTCTTTTTAGCCAGTTTTACAGCCTTGAAATTCTCTATGACTAGCAGGAGGACAAGAACAAAATGCCAGATTTCAAGTTTCCCTGACAATTGTTTTTATGCAACCAGAGCAGATATGACTGGGTAAAAAAACAATCAGTACAAAGCAGTGAAAAATATCTAAATACTCAGGCAACTGCTCTTCTTGCCATTAGATGGCAATATTAACTAATACTTGAACCCTGATACAGCCATGGAAGCAGACCTATTCCCCATTTTGCCAAGGAGCATATATGTGACCTTGAATGGTATTCCATTACTAAGCATCACCACTATAAAAGTCCTTACATCAAAGAACCAAGCGGCATAACTGAACAAAACTTGAATAGGTATATTAATATTTACAGGAAAATTAATAGCCACCACTGTTATGTGAATCTTTATCCAGCAAAACCCTGAACCACTAAATTTTACACCTTTTAAGTCACTTCTGATGTTAAACTTCTCGCTGAATGCACCGAAGCAAGCAATAATCAGTGCTGTAAACATTAACGGAAACTCTTCGTTAACCATTGCTATTGGGGGGGCAGGAGGCAGGGAAGGAGGAGGGTACATACATGGCCTTATCCTATACAGGAACACAACCAGAAATAATGAGCAGTTCCTTCGCCCGGAGACTCAAGATCGCAGACTGAACAGAACTACACTTCCGATGTCCATCAGCATAGGAGCTGGCATTTCACCAACATTTTCAGAAGCTGAAAAAATTTTCTATTATCTCATATCAGTGAAGACAGAAAATATAGTCAGTTTTCCATAACACAATGCACCCTAAAAAGCTTAAAATAAAACTGTCATAAGCTATGGCACATAAAAAGATGACAAGGAAGTTCCACATGTTAAGCCACTATCTTCTCCTACACGCTTCCATTCTTTACCACCCATCGCGACAAATTCTGGTTACCTTCTTAAATTCCTGACATAGTCAAGTCACAACTCCACCACAGCATCCCACAAGTACCTCCCCATCTTCCCACAGACAAGAAATACCACAACATGCTGCAGCTGGGCCCAAGGCAGGTATGCAGGCACTAATTGACTAGCACCTCTTCTTCACCTACTGGGCAACGAGCAACAGCTTTGCCAGCTTTGAGGCCTTTCCATCTAAAAGCAACATAACTTTGGGAGGTCTTATTTATGAGCGCACCAAAATTTACAGTACCTTTGCTTAAAAATTGACAGAAAGGGCACAATGACCAAATTTAATAACCTAGCAAATTGCATAGGTGCTCAGGCTGTCAACAGGTTTGGCAATACAATTTCATGAACCTCACCACCCTTAGCCATTTCAGTATTTCAGCATAGCAAGCCCTTTAGCTTAATTGCCAGTAAATACATTTAGGTACCATCTAAAAATAGCCACTAACGTATTCAAGACAACGGTACATAAGGCTACCAGGCATATGCAGAGAGCATAATGCCACAATGCCTTTTTTTCTCCTTTGTTCCACATCCTCAAGAACCAACTCAAATATAAATTGAGAGGCCACAGAAAAATCAACTAAGGAAACCACAGAGCCAGTAACACAGTCAGCACTCGAGACGTGTATAAGGGACCGACTGCAGTTCTGAAGAGACTCGTATGCAAAGCAAAGGCAAAAAAGTATCATTTTGCAAGATGACAGCAGCACTGCATTTAGCCAACCTGTACTGGCCTACATTAACTTTGCAAGAACACCCCACAGCCTTGCTGCTAAGTGTGAATCAATGAGGCCCACATCTGTGGGCCTCACAGCCAAAACTCATCTGTTACTCTCAGACCATGCCACAAAAGCTTACAAGATGCTATTTTCCCCAAAAAATACACGTTCTTTTCATTGTGTTCATTATGTTTGACTCATATTATCTCTATTGCTTTTCCCAGATTTGAGACTTTGTCCAGGTTTTGGCTGGGATAGAGTTAATCTTCTTCATAGTAGCTAGTATGGGGCTATGTTTGGGATTTGTGCTGGGAACAGTGTTGGTAACACAGGGATGTTTTCATTTCTGCTGAGCAGGGCTTACACAGAGTCAAGGCCTTTTCTGCTCCTCACCCCACCCCACCAGCGAGCAGGCTGGGGGGGCACAAGGGGTTGGGAGGGGACACAGCCGGGACAGCTGACCCCAACTGACCAAAGGGATATTCCGCACCATATGACGTCATGCTCAGCACATAAAGCTGGGGGAAGAAGGAGGAACGGGGGGACGTTGGGAGTGATGGCGTTTGTCTTCCCAAGTCACCGGATGGAGTCATGCGTGATGGAGCCCTGCTTTCCCGGAGCTGGCTGAACACCTGCCTGCCAATGGGAAGGAGTGAAAGAATTCATTGGTTTGCTTTGCTGGCGTGCATGGCTTTTGCTTTACCTATTAAACTGTCTTTATGTCAACCCACAAGTTTTCCCACTTTTACCCTTCCGATTCTCTCCCCCATCCCACCGGGGGGGAGTGAGCGAGCGGCTGGGTGGGGCTGAGCTGCCAGCTGGGGTTAAACCACAACACAGACAAACAGAACAGAACTTCACCAGCAGAAGGATTTTACCTGTATAGTAACATGCAATAACCACTACCCACACCTGTAAATGCTGAACCAGGAACAGTAGCCACTACAATCACTCTCACAAAACCAGCAAGGTATAAAAGCTTCCCTTTTATGCATTAAAACAAACGCATTAAAACCTGGCTGTTACGGAGAGGTGGCTGAGTTTTAATGTCCATTTCCATTTAGACACAAATAGATACTCAAAAATAAGTTTTTATAAAGCTAATCATTACATAAAAGTGTATTTTCAGATACGGTTTTTACATCCAGTTTTCCCGTACACTTCAGAAACCTGCAAAGAACGAAGAAATAGATGTGTGAAGCAACAGATCCTAGTTGTTCTTATGTCCCTACACAATCTGGACAGTTCAATATTTATTTACTTCCTCAACAACTTAATATAATCTTGCATTAAAAAAAGGACTGTTTCTGAAATAACTAACCCTTAGAGCTATGAGCCCTAAGACAGACTGTAAGGCCAACATGACTTCCTCCATTACTGCACAGTTCCAGAACTAGCTTTAAACAGTCATTATGTAAAGTTGTTCTTAATAAAAGCTGAATCACCTGAAGGACAGTTTATTTCTAATGTGAAACGAGTTTGCAAGTTCAGCTCTCAGCTTTGTATGACCTTGGCCAGCGAGATGGCCTTGTGTCCCTCTCTTCGCAAAGCTGGATAAACAGGTTTAAGTGCAAATTATTTCACAGTTACCCATCTACCCA